TGTGTGTCTCTGTCTGTCTGTCTGATGGGGATTTTGGGGGAAGGTATGAAGGCGTCACGTGACTCTCCAGTACTAATGATAACGTCGCTTGTTCATCTGTGGCAACCAGGGCCAGACGTCTGTCAGGTCGGGAGGACAAGGGCAAGCGTGAGAGAAAGAGAAGAAGTAACAGCTCGGAGAGAGAGAGAGAGAGAGAAGAGAGAAAGTCAGGAAACTATCCCGTCCTCAGCATTATAGTTGACCCAGCTGTCCGTCCTGAAGGACAACACGCAGTTGAGTTTCGTGGGAACAGAAGTTAACAGCACAGTACAGTTATGATGACCCAGGTGGAGACCACGGTGCACTATGACAACGGCTACGAGGAGGAGTATATGTTACAGGAGGATGAGTGGGACAGAGACATGCTGCTTGACCCTGCCTGGGAACAACAGCAGAGGAAAGTAAGTCCAAGAAAGAAAAATAGAAAGATAATTAATTAATTAATAAAAGCAACGTAAAAATATGGTATATTCTGCCAGTAATTTGCTTACAGAATCGGATAATATAGTTTCAGACAGCTCTGTTGGGGGTAACGTCAAGCACACCATGCGAAAAGGCTGAATATCCGGTTAGCAGTTTCAAAATAAAAGAATGTCGAACCTAACATTTTCAGGATTAAACTAACTGATGTTTCTTTGAACATAGACGCGAAAATAGTGAAGCATTTTCACTACTATAATTATTGTGTGTACGTGGGGTAAAGTGAAAACCTACAAGACACATATTCAGTAACTGTTAATCACTTTTGACAACCGTTAATAACCCGTAGATCACATAAACAAACGTATAAAAGTAGAAAAACGGATATATAGTCAAAGTTATCGTAGCTTATAGCAGATAGCTGCGGTATAAACGTTAACTTTAAGTTAGGCCGTATACAACGTTAGCTATGAAACTTGAGTAGCAAAACTAGATAACTCAAAAAGCGAAGAGGCCGGGCAGCTTTTTACGTTTTATTTTTAAACCAACAATCAGAAGTTCCACATGCAATCTTATTCTGAAGGACAGCACCGCCCTACTTCCGGCGTGGCTCTCGCTGCGTGCTGCTGGCTTGGCGCAGCCGGCGTCCACGGCGGGTACCAGCTAACAATAGCTGTGGCCTCCAGCGGCTCTGCACACTGCTGCCTCTCCACTGATACGCGCGGAATGCGAGCTGTCAACAGATGCTTCTAACACATGATGACGCTCCTGGGATTAGAAGGGACGCTACATCTAATTTTAACCCCGGGACCAAAAGGCATTATAGTGGGGTTAATCCAGTGTCCTTGGCGCGGAATTCTTTTGTTTATAGAAACCATGCAGAAATCTTGTACCAGAACCACCAGCTCAACTCGATATAGCCTCGGCCCTCCCGCAGTCAGTTGGTTTTACGGCTTTAAAATGTTGGCCTGGGCCCTATACTGCAGCTCTTTGCACAACTGGAGGCGCCTTACAACCTCCTGTGGCCCCCACAGGATGACAAAACTGTGTATTTTTGGGGTATCACAAGGCAGCAACAGACATAACACAGTTGTGTTTCCAATGTTTATCTTTTTGCTGATCATAATTTGCAGTTGACAAGTGCTCATTGGAGAGTGGTTTGGTTTGTGGGAGCAGCTGTTCAAAATGATCAGGACTGATAAATGATGGTTGAATACAGTCAGTAACGCTGGTATAGTGTTTCTCTGTGCCACTGTGATGAGCTTGCCGTGCCCAGACAGCTTGTTATATACCTTATACCCTGCTTGGTGTTGACAGTGAGCAGAAGCATTGCCACTAGGCTGCTGTTCACTCCACCAGGGGCAACTTAAAGTCACTTTTTCCAAATAATTTCTTAAATCTCTTATCTAGCTCAAGCCATGGTGCAGTGAGCTTATTTCAAATCCTACTAGCACCTATTGTAGCTCTCCTTCAGTGGATATTACTGTGATGGTGCTTATGTGGACCTTTTTTTAATCTCAGGTTTATCAAGGAGATTGAGAAAGCCTTCAGTGGCCCATTCCATGTTACAGAGACTGATACTCACACTTAAGCCAGGGGGCCGTGTTACATTGAGTGTTATGGATAAGGAATGAATATGAATATTTAAGTGAAATAGAAGTCAGAATGAAATAAGTTCATTCATAAGGTTTTATCTTCTTTAACATTCGGTTCTCATTTACTGTCCATCCTCTGAGATACAGCCTAGCCTCCGACCTAGTGAGGCCCCAAAGGCATCGGCCAGTTCAGCGACAGGGTTGGTCCTGGCTGGAAGTGATTCATAAATATTTTTAGCTTTAATCGTCACTGGTCAGTAGTGCTGGAGGAGGGTGGGGGGGGGCTTGGAAAGTGGGCAGCAGGGTTCTACGACTGAGTCAAATATGGAGGACCAGCAGGCCACGGTTTTTAACAAGGAGGGCATCAGTTCAATGTCACATACTCCCCCCGGGACTCACTCAGGGAGGAATGTGATGGCCTTTACTCTAAAGCCTGTAATATTCTCTTTTTGCACCGGCACCCAGAGGGGAAGCCTGGGTACAAGGATGTGTAGGAATCAGGCCTGGGAAAAGTATTCAGTCACTTTGCTGAATTTATGTATTAGCCAATTAAACTACAGGTGTGAAAATACACTGTGTAAAAGTTACTTCTTAGGAAAATAAAACATTTAGCATTTAAATGGCCAAATAAAGTGCAAAACAATGGAAAATAAAGATATGTGGAGATGTGAAAAATCCCAAAGTAAAGCTAGCTTTTGCTTCTATTCTTTCCTTAATGACTATTAAGTGCTAATAACTCTCTAATAAATGTTTTAAAATGTACTGTACGTCCCACGCTAACTGCTGACTATTCATACCTACTTGTTTTTATGCAGGTGGAGAGTAAACGAGCATTGAATTCATTGAAGCACCTATAAACATAAACATATATATCCTTTTTGTTGATGACAGTAGCTTATTTAAATGCATTTTTCTTTTCATTTATCGTGGCATTTGTGACACTATGACAGATCCTCCTTGTGGCGCCATCCTTCAAATGATTTTAAACTGGAATTTTTGTCTCCGCTCCCCATCCTCCATCCATTCCTGCCTGCCTTCATACCTCAGCAGAGTTACGAGGCTGACCTGGAAGAGCTGCGTACATGTGCTGCGATAAAGCTATCTCCTCGCAGCTGTGGCCCACCACATTATAAGTGGCAAAATAGTGACAGAAAGTGACGTGAGAGGAAAACTTGTGTCCACGTGACATATTCGCTCATGTTGACACAGCGAGAAGTTTTGACGTTTTTCCCTCCAGGTCTCTTATCGTGAGGCACAGCAGAGCGGTCTAAATTTAACACCTTATATCGGTCGGAATGTGCTCTGTGGTCGGCTCCCAGCTTTCATCCGCGCGGTGCTGAGCGCCCGTGAACCCTGCTGCCGGCTATTGAGAGACTTTATAAAAATAGGAGGAGAAAGACAATGATCCTGTCTTAACTTGATCTACAGTATTTCAGTACCCCACATTGGAGCGTGTTTGCTCTGATGGTTGTTATCCGTGGAGCTACGGGAGAAAAAAAAAGTTGAAATTGGACACTAATGGGTCACTGAGGGTTAATCTGAAAATGTGGCACTGGTCAAAGAGGTTAACATCGATTTGGTATAGTGAAGACTTGTTAAGCTGTTAGCTGCTTCGGTTTGTTTAGGTCTTTTGCAGAGAGGAATATCATGCTTATAGTGTAAAGGAGATTTAAAGCGTTTAGGATTAAAGGCGCATCAGCAGTCACAGCAAGTGCAATTTTCATGCACACAGTTCTCTTCATTTGTTGACATTTTAGCAAATCCCATTTTAACCGACCCCTTTCCTGTCAGACCTTCACGGCCTGGTGTAACTCCCACCTGAGGAAAGCTGGTACTCAGATTGAAAATATTGAGGAGGACTTCAGGAACGGACTGAAACTCATGCTGCTCCTGGAAGTTATCTCAGGTTAGCTCACTAAAGGAAGACATTTCTTTTTATACCTTCTTAGTTCCTTTCAATGATTTATATTTTGTGATACTTAACCAGTGGGATAAACATGCATTTAATACGGTATAATTACAACAGTTTTTTGGTAATGAGCACACACGCTTACACACGTATCTGACTCTGTCACATAATGTTCTGTTTGCAGGAGAGAGGTTACCTAAGCCAGACAGAGGGAAGATGCGGTTTCATAAGATTGCTAACGTCAACAAAGCGTTGGACTTCATCACAAGCAAAGGAGTGAAACTGGTCTCCATTGGAGCTGAAGGTAGCCGAAGCCTTCCTGCATATGTGTATATACTACAGGCCATGTCCAATATGAACTCACAAACATGAGTGATAGTCAGATTTTCTACTTCGCTCTATTGCAAACCGATTGTAACGGGTTGTTTCCCTTTCAGAGATTGTGGACGGGAATGTTAAGATGACTCTAGGAATGATCTGGACTATCATCCTCCGCTTTGCCATCCAGGATATTTCTGTGGAAGGTGAGATCATTAAATCCAAATAATGCAAATCTAGTTATAAGAACATAGAATATAAAATGTAAATGTGGGAGTATTAAAGGGAAAAGCAATCTGTGACCTGCGCAGAACTACACTATATGATGGAACCAATGCCTGTGAACTCACTTTCTCCTCAGAAACATCTGCCAAGGAGGGTCTCCTCCTGTGGTGTCAGAGAAAGACTGCCCCCTACAGGAATGTCAATGTCCAAAACTTCCATGTCAGGTGAGTGTTCAACACAGGAAATACTGTTCATTGAGTCTTGATGGTCCATTGTGTAACATTACGAGGAAGGAAGGAGAATATAATAGTCATAAGTATGTTCTCATTAGTGTGTAATCAACAGAATATAGGAATAATTTGGGCATCCAAGACAATATATCATAGCAGTACATATCACAGTAGTAAAATATGGACTTATGCAAGTGATGTTACACCTCTAATGGTTAATGCTGGAACTGGACCCCAGAAACTTCATCTCTGAGTCAAGTTAGCATGTTTTGAACTGACATGTTGGTTCTCTCTGCTGGTCGGCTGGTGAAGCTGGAAGGATGGCCTGGCCTTCTGCGCCCTGATTCATAGACACAGACCCGACCTCCTCGACTACTCTAAGCTCAACAAGGTGTCGTGTGGTTTCACTTGTAACCAGGATGCTGTGTTTCAGCCCCCAAACACTAACAGACTGAATTAACACCACTCCACAGTGTGAACTGATGCAAACACACTGAATGCAGAATAATGGCACTTTAGGCTACTTTGTATGACCTGTTGACTTATGTTGTGAAGGAAAACTATGTCTAGGACTGCAGGTGTATGCCATCTTTTTGAACGATTTCATCTTTCCTTTGGCAAAGAGTTACTTTCAGCACTCACCTGGTTGCCTTTTTTGATTATTACTAGTTATCTTAAGTAAAGGGAAGTGTTTGATCCAGTGAGGATAACAAAATATAGCAGTTTGAACCTTAAGGAGTTCGTTGGGACTGTTGGTACGATTCATGGCACTTTGGGATACACTTAAAATGATGTGAAATTTCATAGCAGCAGCTCCATGTTGTTTACAATGCAAATTATTTCATCTAAATTAAGGTGAATGCTGTAATGTTTGCTATAGATAAAGCGTGTTATTTGGCTAATGGATGTAATGCTGCTTCAATCAATGGATGTGCTTCTTCTTAACTGCAGAAGCATTTTATCCTAAGTGCATTCATTTAGTCTCACCTCATGCTTCATTATTCTAAAGCAGTTTACTTGGTACATAATTTCAGCATAATTAGCATGAAAAAAACATTGCTTTAGTTTTTAAGTCTGTTTATTTGCGCACCCCACTGTGCCCTGATTACAACTTTGGATTTAATGGTGGGGATATGTGGCCTCTTTCCTATGACACAAACTTGAAGTGATGAATATGCAACCCAAAGCGTGCCTACCATTTAAATTATGCCAAATGAATACATAGTTTGACTTTCCTCATCCAGCATATTGCTGTGTGCATGCTACTCGAGCTTAAATGGTTTTCAGGGTAAACAAATACACAGCCCATTTAAATGTTCTGGTTTTAATGGATGGCCAGGATTCTCAGTGTTTGTGCATAAACAGGTGAATTGTGGTGTGTATTTGGAGAGCTAGTGAGAACAGCTGACAGCCTTACTGTGTTTGTCAAATAACAATAATGCACAAGTAAGGCACACTTTCCCTTCTGGAAGAAGGTGCCGTCTTAGCCAGACGGGAATGCCAAGCCTGCTATGGGAATATTTGAGGCTTCTCTCCTCCGCTGACTGACAGTCTGTTTTAATATAAAACTGCAAGTAAAAACTGATGATAGAGATTTTTTTCCTTCAGGTTTTGGAGTGATGTTATCCCATGAAGGCTTGGAGCACGTACAAAAAATCAAACCATGTATTCATGAGAAACCATATTGCTGAGCTCAAACAGAGAATTTGACTTTACCTAGGCCAAATTTAGCCCGACACTTGTGTATGTATAGTGGGGAAACTCCATGGCTGGTTACGAAGAGTGTCATTTTCATTTGTTTTGGAAACAGAAGCGCTCACTTTCAGCACACAACTCACTGTCCTGACTTGGAGTTGACCCTGAATAGTCAGAGAAACATGAGCCTAGTCCCTGCAGAGCTCAGGCTTAGCTTTACCTCTACTATTGTCCACTCTGTCACGTCGTGTTCCCCAGTTAGAGACTGCCGGTCTTTATGAAAGACAGGAAGATGTGATTACTGTGATTTATTAAGTATACCAGCAAGGATGATGTTGATTTTTATAATTAGGAAAAGGGCTCTCAAAGTAAATATGAGTGATAAGGCCCACACATACAAACCATATCTATTTATCTCTACTGCTTTTTCTCTCCTTCAATCTCTTTGACATACATACTCACACATTCAGTCACACTTCAGTTATGCTCATGCTGCCAGGAGACAGTTGCATTGTGTGCCAGGCAGCTGTTGAGTCTGGCTCCAGGTGAGCGTGTTCATTAAGCTTGCAGTTTTACAGCCGACTGCGACAGCTCTGGTCAGGGGGCGCGCACACACAGGCCTCGGGGTATCCTTCTATCCATCCCTCCATCCCTCTATCCCGTCATCCATTTACCACCCTATCTATCCATATCTCTGTCCTGCACTGGATCTGTGAGCAGCTGGCCCTGTCATGTAGTGTGCCAGCCCCTATCCCCCCACCATTGTGGAACAGTGGTACAGAGATAGGGACAATAGCAGCAGCATGATAGCATGATCCCTTTACCCCACTGTACTCACTCACCTCACTGACTGTCCCATTAGCGGGAAGGGGTTTACTGTCAGCTGTTGGCCTAATGCACCACTCCCACTCCGTTAAAACATTTGGTTTCTCCTGTCACAGTCATTTGTGTGAGAAAAGCTAGTTTCTTCGATTCAATCTGTCATTTCACAAAATACATGATTTATATTTGGGGGGTAGATTTAGTTTCTTATTTAACCTGTTAGTACATTAATTTACAAAAGATTTTCATAATAATATAGTCACTATAAAATAATAAACATCAAAAGATCAATTGCTTAACTGAGATCACTACTTGTATTAATCATTTAATGTAATTTATAGTTAAAAGCTAAACATGTACAAAAAGTAATTCATGTTATAGATTTGAGAAATAAAAAAACAATTGAGACTGGTTTCATGTACTAAGGATCAGTCCTTACCGCAGTGGCTCGGTTAAATTCCAGCTCGCTGCCCTTTGCTACATGTCATCCCCCCTGTCTCTCTCTCTCTCCCTTTCCTGTCTCTCTTCAGTTTCACTATCAAATTAAGTAAAACAAAAAGACCCCAAAAACTATTAAAAAACAAACAAACAAAACTGAAAAATGTAGTAATAATTATAATATTAAATATAATATTTTCTGGGGTTTTGTGGAGCAACTCTTTCAAATGTAAATTTAAAGTGAGTGCATGTATAGTAGGGGAGAGTGATGTGTCCACCATAGCATGGAGGTCAGTGCAGTGGCATTTTAAGTCCAGCATTGCTGTTCAGTGATGTCGAATTGCGTTTCTGTATTTAGGATGATCCTCTGGGGAACCTGAACCTGGCTTTTGACATAGCCGAGAAACACCTGGACATTCCCAAAATGCTGGACGCAGAAGGTAATATTTATGGAATAGATGTACCAGATATGAGTTTCAAGATTAAAAATGAACTTTAAAATAAAATTGAACTTTCTCACACACTGTTCTTTCGAATATGTGGATTTTTTTCTGAGGCCTATTTTAGTCTTTATGACACACTGTGCTGCTTCTGTCTCCTTCCATTCTCCAAAGTCATTTTTCACTTTTTGGATTATTCCTTTCTGCCACCTTGACTTTTCCTCCCTCTCGATGCTGTAGATATCATCAACACCCCTAAGCCTGATGAAAGAGCTATCATGACCTATGTGTCCTGCTTTTACCATGCTTTTGCTGGAGCTGAGCAGGTATAGTGATTGAACTTACTCCCTTACTAAATTCAATCTTTTAGATAAGATTTAGATATTTATTTTGAGAACAGAGTCAAGTGCGTAAATCTATTGTCGGTTTGATTTTGACATTTCAGTTTGAGCAATAAATGTATTATGAGGATGCTGTTATTAGAGATATTGGAAGGATCAATGGGAGTGTGGCCCACTGTGTTACTTTGTGCTCTCAGGCAGAGACAGCTGCCAACAGGATCTGTAAGGTGCTCGGTGTAAACCAGGAGAATGAGAAAATGATGGAGGAGTATGAGAGACTGGCCAGTGAGGTAAAGCAGTTTTCATATATATATATATATATATATACTGTATAATCTGATACGTATTACACTAAACTTTGACATTAAAGAGAAGATTACAAAACATTTTTCTTTCCCCCACGTATGAATAATTCACACTCTTAACATGTTAACACGGAGCTCTCTTGCCTTTCCACTCATTCCCATGTTGTCCTTGTGTTTTCCAGCTGCTGGAGTGGATACGACGCACCACTCCCTGGCTGGAGAACCGGACCCCAGAGAAGACCATGGCAGAGATGCAGCGGAAGCTGGAGGACTTCAGGGACTACAGACGCCAGCACAAGCCCCCTAAAGTGCAGGAGAAGTGCCAACTGGAAATTAATTTCAACACCCTGCAGACCAAGTTGCGCATCAGCAATCGCCCTGCCTTCATGCCCTCTGAGGGGAAGATGGTATCTGTAAGTCATGACTCCAAAATCTTGCTTGTAATTCAGCAGTCAAAGAAGTGTTCATGATTGTGTGCACCATTGTTTATGTCTAGTCTAATGGCAAATGCTTTAGAGGTTCTGACGGTCTACCAACAGAGGATTATTAGTGCATCTTGCATCTTCAAACAATATTTTATTAAATTAAATTTTCTAATTTGCCAGTAAAATCAATCCAAAACATCTTAAGAATGTAGTATGAACAGTGATTTTTCATTCAGGATATAGCCAGTGCATGGCAGGGCCTGGAGCAGGCAGAGAAAGGCTTCGAGGAGTGGCTCCTTACAGAGATCCGTAGGCTGGAGAGGCTGGACCACCTGGCTGAAAAGTTTCGCCAGAAAGCTACCAATCATGAGAACTGGGCCAGCGGTGAGTTATAGTTTGGCTTCTTAACTGTGTGCGTGCTTGCTTTTCTATCTACCTCTCACTGCTACAGTATGTTTATAGGTCTTGACTTGTTAGCTACACGTTTAGCTCCAGGCACCTCAATTCCTGCTTCTCTGCCTGATTTTCAGTGTTCAAGTATTTTCTTTAATCTTGTGGTTTGTTCCTAATGAGATTTGATTTAATGTTTTACAGTCTGTTCAATGCAATAAGTCTGTTAGACTGCAACAGGTCATTTTCTCCATCAGTGCTGACCAAATAAGGCCCGTGTTTGAATCTAACCTGCTAATCAACTTGTTGTTCCTCTCTCTTTGCATATGTGTCATATTCAGGTAAAGAACTGATCCTTTCCCAGAAGGACTATGAAACAGCTACCCTGACAGAAATCAGAGCATTGCTTCGAAAACACGAGGCCTTCGAGAGTGACTTGGCAGCCCACCAGGACAGAGTGGAGCAGATTGCAGCCATTGCACAGGAACTAAAGTACGCACTCCATTTAGCAGACGTTTGCAATCATGGGTGATGGGGGCCCAGGAGTACATTGTCACTCCTGCCAAACACAACACAGGGGGGGAACTAATAGCAAAATCAACTAATGCAATCTTGTTTTTTGTTTTGGTGTCTCTTTTTTAAATATTATTTTAATCACATTTTGGCTTTAGACTCGTATAACCTACCGGGGTGACTGTCTGAATAGGTTATGGATGACAAACAACAAAGGACATGTGCACGACACAACACTGCACTCACATAAATTATGCAACAGTTCAATGGTCCCAAAAAAACATCACATTTCAGAAGTGCAGGAAAAAAAATGGAACAATATAAACTCACTGTCTCTAAAGTGTGATTTGCCACTGAAAAAAAAGTATTCATGAAAACCCTCTTCTTCTAAGTGTATCCTAATAGAAGGGAGGAGGGTGTGGTTTAAAGGCATGCTGACATTTGCAATCAGCAGTCAGTGATGAACACCTGTCCATCGTTACCTTCTCAGTCTGGGATTGGCCAGTATTTCCTGTTTCATTTTTAACCGATGCTCTGAGAGAGGAAGATAGCATTTCAGCTGACAAGCAAAATGGCCATGTGGTTTCCTACAAGGTATGTGTTGTTTAAATCACTGTTTTCCTGTTTGTTTTCTATTAATGGCCAGTTTATTTCACTCCAATGTTTGACCATGCTGTTTTCCTTTCCAGTCAGTTGCTCCTCATTGCACTGTTGAGCTGGAATGTCCATTCGTTTCCTGTTAAAAACAGTAAGGTTATCACTTCACCGAGACTACAAATTGCTAAGACACATGTTACTTTAAATATTGTCACGTTTTTCTTAAATTTTACCACAATTTCCCCTGACCTAGGCTGGAGCTGGCGTTATCCTGATGAAGGCAGTCTCACTAACATGGAGATGCCTCCTGGTTATTCATTCCAAAGTGCTCCTGCTCTGCGTTCCAGTGCAATTTACCCTGCTGTTTCATTCCCATATGAAGGAGTGAATACTAGTCCTGCAATGTATCCAGCAAGCCCTACTTCAGACATATCCAGTGTAGGTTCACGAGTACACTGGGAACTTCCTACTCCTGCTTCGGATCCTGTGGAAGAGTCTTCAACTCCCTACACTGAGTCCAGAACATCTCAGCCCATACCTGATAGCCTTCCTCCACCTTTGTTTCAGGCAGGTGAGCTTGATACCTATGAACTGAACTCAGAGATTGGTAATTCCGAACATGAAACTGAGGAGTCAAGCTTAATGCCAACGCCACCACCTCCTCCGTATCTGGAACCTGATTTTCAGCCTGGTGAGTTGAGTAACTATAACTACGTCTTTGAGCATGGAAATGCAGAGAGGGAAACAGAAGAACAAGGATACATGCCCCGACCTCCCTATGCCTCAGCTGCACAGGGAGCTGAAGAGTTGTCGTCTGCTTCCATGTCCGAACTCCCCGTGCAGCCAGTCTCCGAAAAAATGCAACCACTTGACCTGAATTACTACCTCTTCTTGACCGGTCAGCTTCCTCCTAGCACTCTCACTCACTTCCAGAAAACCTATGAGTCTGGCATAGACGACTGGGCTGAAGACCATTATGAGAGATACGATCCTATGGCTGAAAGTCCAACCATCCCCTCTCAAACGAAGGAGTTTCCCAGTGATGGACTTTGGCAGCAGCCCCAGTACTATTCCAAAGCTTAACCAGAACTGTAAGCCTTGTAAACCAACTTGATGCAAGTCAGGGTAAAGACAGTTGTAGGGTCCCTGCAGTTTACTAAACGTGTACTCATGTCTGTGTTCAAATTGCTTGTGACTTCTAAATAAAATGTTTTGCTGAAAACTAAACTGTTTCCTTTAATGTGGGTTGGCCACATTAAAGTCTGGGTCTCTCACTTGACAATTTAAAAAAAAAAAAAGCTTTGTTCAACTAGAGGACAGTATTTCTGGTACTCTATTTTAAGATCACAACACGATGGAGCACATCGTTGTTGCAAAGTTGGCTGTAACTGACAATCTAAACTCATCCTGGTAAACGGTAGCACCTACATGCTAGTCGCAGCTTAAGAGAATGGTGTAGTCTTTCGGCTTGAAGGATTGTTTGTGCTCATACCTGAGCTTAAAACTATATCTTTCGCCTACAACTTAAGGTGAAAATTAAACTTTGCAAACCAATTTCAGAATTAACTTCAGTCATTGGACTGGTGCCACATTTGCCTTTCCAGCACAATGAAAAGGGCCTGTTGTGAAGATGTAACTTAGGTTTATATTTAGTAAGCATTTAACTGCATTTGTACATGTGGTTTTATTTCTCATGGCAGTGCACATTTCATTTTAGCAGTTTCTCTAATCTTATATGATCAGACATGTGTAGATGGGAGTTTGTTAAAACGCTTTTTTTTTTTTTTTTTCTCAAACTCTAATTTATCCAGTAGCTTGCCTTTTTTTGTAAAGGCATTTAAATTCCTGGGGAACACAGTAAAGCTCTTTTCCACAACTGAAACAAACCGCAGTACGTGCTTTGTTTTTCCAGTGAGCTGGATTACCACGACGTGGCTGCTGTAAACCAACGCTGCCAGAGCATCTGTGACTTGTGGGACAAGCTGGGAACCCTGACTCAGAAGAGGAGAGAGTCACTGGAGGTGACGGCAACATTCAAGGATACTTTGCACTATTATGTGAATTTTGGATGAAATGCATTCATATCCATTTGGCCTTTTTTTTTTCATTGATTGTTCCAAAACAATGATTAATTTCTTTTCTTTTTTTTATGTTGGGATAAGTTAGTAGGTCTCCCCACAAGAGTGCGCTAATGTTCCATATGGACTACAATAGATGCAGAATGAAGTTGAATCTAAGACCAGCTTAATCAAAATGTCAGTGTGAGCATATTTAGGTGCCTGTCAATGCCATTCGAAAAGTGAAGACACAATGGATTGATGAGGAGAGATAATTGGATCCCCTGTAAAATCCCTGACCCAGATAGGATGGTAAAATGGGAGGGTGGAGGGGGATAAAGGAGAAATAGATGTAAGAGGTCCTATCCAGAAAGTGACTGGCTAAAAGCCCACTAGCCACTTCCTCTGATCTGTGTTGGCTATTCCAAACCTGCAAATGTGTGAGGGCCTGGGAAAAGGGCCAAGGATTAAGTCTGAATGACAGTGACAGAGGTCTGTTTTCTGTCCATCTTCCACTCCCCGCCATTCCCTGTATGGGTGGGTGGGGCGGGGGAGCTCGGACTATGTCAAGAACAACCAAGGGGGTGGGTTAACAAGGCCATACCAATGTTATGCACCCTGGGATTAGTAATCAAAACAGGTGAAGGGATGTTTGTTTTGGGATTTGTATGTGTGATATGAAGATGACTCCTTAGTTCATGGTGATAATGGTAGAACCTTGTGTTGAGCTTTAGTTTTTTTCAGGATTTAAAAATATACAACAGATATGTGATATCTTGTAATCCTCTCAGCGGACAGATAAGCTGCTGGAGACTATTGATCAGTTGTTCTTGGAGTTTGCCAAGAGGTCGGCTCCTTTCAACAACTGGATGGAAGGAGCTATGGAGGATCTGCAGGACATGTTCATAGTGCATACAACCGAAGAGGTCCAGGTACTCACAGCGCTGTAGATGAACTTACTGCTATTCTTGAGATTGAGATTTCATTTCACTGTATCTCTGCTGTTAAAAAATGTCAGTTTAATGTCAGTAAATCTGTCTCACCCAAAGAAAACCACACAATGCTGTTACACTCGACAAAATTTAAATATTAATACAATTTCATGACTTCCCTATTCCCATTCCAGAGTCTAATTGCAGCTCACGAGCAGTTCAAAGCTACTATGCCTGAGGCAGATGCAGAGAGACAGGCCATCATGGGAATCCACAGTGAGGTGCAGAAAATTTCCCAGAGCTATGGGATCAAGGCCAACATTATCAACCCGTACAGCACCATCACAATTGAGGAGCTTCTCAACAAGTGGGAAAAGGTAGCTACAGCTTTATAAGTCACTTACAGAGTCGTATGTTGAGGAATAAAGTCATTACACAGATAGAAGCTGTCTGGCTGTATAAAAATGTTAATTATGAAAAAGGAAAAAGGAGTGTAGTATCTGTGGTCCAGTGGTAAAGTAAAGTGCCGCTCTTATGTTTAATCACTGAGTTGAAGGATTCAGCACCCACTAAGTATCTAAATCATATAATCCAAATATACTAGCATAATTATCTTTAATGTTAGTAGCTCTTTTCAAGAGGATCCATCTTCTCACAATTACAAATAAGCCCTTTCTGTGTGAATGTGTCCGTTTTCCAGGTGAAGAAGCTGGTTCCTCAGAGAGATGGTGCCCTTCAGGAGGAGATGGCACGCCAGCATGCCCATGAGAGGCTGAGACGGCAGTTTGCTGCCCAGGCTAATCTTATTGGACCCTGGATACAGGCCAGGATGGAGGTTAGACATACAGGCTTCAAAAGCAATTTGACAGTTATCTCCATCTAATCCAATAAAGACATGAAATGGAAGATAATTATATTCAAATGCATTGTATATAAGGGAGGTACAATGATGGTGGTTTTCCTGATAATGATGATAATTGAATAATGTCAAGTATTATTATTATGCATATATATTTTTTTCTTCATTAAATGCTATATGTCCTGACAGAATTTACTCTCACAGGTAAATGACTTCCTGTAGTATCAGTGAGGAAACCGTCTGATCTGTAAACCAGCATCATATCATCTAAATTGGTCTGCAAATTAAGTTGACCTTTTTGTGTTATGCTAATAGGAAATTGGGCGCTGCTCCCTGGAGATAGGAGGCACCCTGGAGGACCAGATGACCCAGCTGAAGCAATTTGAGCACGTCATTGTTGCATACAAGCCCAACGTCGACAAGTTGGAGGGAGACCACCAGCTGATCCAGGAGTCGCTGGTGTTTGATAACAAACACACCAACTACACTATGGAGGTACAGGGCTGCGGCAAACAGCAGTACAAGACTGTGCATGCACTTGCAGTATTTGCATAAGTTACTCATTGCAGCTCCGTTGGATCAACATACATTTAGATATTCTGTTTTTAAACATTCAAATATTCATTAAACTGCACAAGGTTCAAGCTTCTCTGTGTCAACATGTCTGCTCTGTCATCACATCCACAGCATATCCGTGTCGGGTGGGAGCTGCTCCTCACAACCATCGCCCGAACCATCAATGAGATTGAGACCCATATACTGACCCGGGATGCCAAAGGCATCAGCCAACAGCAGATGAATGAATTCAGATCCTCTTTCAACCACTTTGACAGGGTACAACTTTCTGCTAATTTTCCTTTTTTTTGTCCATTTGAGTAGCTGATCTAAGTGATCCAGAAGCAGAGCAAGGGGTGGTGGTAGCCTTAGATTTAGATATGGTCCTCCTAAATGTTAGCACCGAAACCCAAATGTCCTCCTTAGAGAGGTCTTGGTGTACAAGATGCTGAATTCTTACCAGACCCAGGAGCAGTGCTCAGTAGCTGACCCTGCATTTGACCTGAAGTGATCTCTTGTGGAGTTGGTGGATGAATATTCTCCTTTGGCCCTCACAGATTACCACAATTAATGCACTGTAAACAGTAGCTGCTATTTTATTGTGGAATGTTAAGCCATATTTGGCTATATTTTATGTCTTGTAAGATGGTTGACCCATCCAAGTAGGGTGTTTCATTTTATTCAATCTGCAGGAAATCCACAGACTGACTGTTCTTCACCATACTGGAGTAAAAGCATGGATAATACACCTGACAAATACAAACTTCAAAGTGTCAAAATATTGCTGTGTACTGATGTCTCGGATAAGAATGTTTAGTGTCTGTGTATATTACAGCTGCTGCTTTCCTGAATTTCTAAGCTCTTTTAAGTGCCATTATCATGAAATCTACAGCATCTTTAATGTGTTATCGCAAAAGCCAAAAGATTAGGTGCTTGAAGTCTAAAGCTTTCCTCCTCAGTTATTTTATCATGATGCAAAACATTTAATTGTAAGTGTCAGATTTGGAAAAAGTTTGAAACCACTGCACATTGAATATGTAGGATTTAGTCTTACAATATTGCATGTCTAATGCACATTGTACTTTATATGATGCACTTAGCTTGTTCCTCTGTTTTACTTCAATCATTTCTGTAATCTCCCGTCTCTACTTTCCTCATTTCCTGTACGGTGAACCTGAAATTTGGCTTCCGACTGTAGAAGAAGAATGGCGCAATGGAGACTGATGACTTCAGAGCCTGCCTCATCTCTATGGGTTATGACTTGGTATGGTAATTCAAATGTCGGTGGGTGGATGGGGTTATGTTGTCAGTTGTTCTCACATTTTATTTACTGTACAAACTCTTCTCAATCGACATTTCTCAGGGCGAGGTGGAATTTGCCCGTATAATGATGCTGGTGGACCCCAATGCTACCGGAATCGTCTCTTTCCAGTCTTTCATAGACTTTATGACCAGAGAGACTGCTGACACAGACACTGCCGAGCAGGTTGTGGCATCCTTCCGGATCCTGGCAACTGACAAGGTATGTGTGTGCGACTTCCCGGCATATGGGCAGATATTCTTAGCCAGTACTAATCTACTCTATTCTTGTCATTATTTCCAAGTATTTGCCATGCCATGTTGATTTATGATCTACAATTTTGTTCACGAGCTTAAAATGGAAAAGGGCGATATTATCGTGAATCTTTTGGGAAACATGTCTGAAATGCATTTTCTTTCCACCACCACAGCCCTACATACTAGTGGAGGAGCTGAGAAGAGAACTCCCCCCTGAACAAGCAGAGTATTGCATCATGAGGATGCCGCCTTACGCTGGCCCTGGAGCACCACCAGGGGCACTGGACTACACTGCCTTCTCCACTGCCCTCTACGGAGAGAGCGACCTTTAACCAGCTAAAAAAACCTTTAATCTACTGACCGTTTACCTAACAACCCCCCCCCTACCCAATCCCCTTGCTTTCCATCTCTTGATAAATTTAAGGAATATAAGAAAGTTGGATCAAATATGTTGAATGAAATGTGTTTTTGTTCATTAGTTTTCTGAAGCATTAGACTGTCTACAATCATGCAGAGCATTGTCATGTGTCCTGGTCCTCTTGGGACAAAACATGCCCCCGAAACAAACAGAAACTGCCATGTTCAAATGATCTTGTGAGAAACAATGCACTGTACATTTTATCTTGTGTGTTAAGGTATTTTTGCAGAAAGTAGGCTTCAGTGAAGAAGGTAAAGCTAAAAGAAAAATGTACTCCATCAAAAATGCAGATCACTTAATACAACAACAGGATTGTGGTGTTTCTGTATTTTATCAGCCAAAGAAATTGGACATGAAAATCCTGTTTCGTTTAGCAATGATGTGTATTGTTTTCACGTTTCCTCACAGTGCCTTTGTTTTGGGAATACAGTCTTCTGATAAGGCATTTTGAGATGTTTAAAGTGAGTTACAGTTTGCAAAAGCAATTTCAGACCTACTGCCATACAACAATAAACGGTTTAGAAAATGGGTTCCCAAAGGCCAAAAATATACAGTACCAACAGAGAAAAAGTGGGCGAAACCACATGAATGCAAAAGTAAATGTTTACAATTGCTCAGTGGTTTAAAGGCAGAGAACATGGAAGACTGAATGTGCGGTATTCATGAGTAATGTGTTTTAAGATCAAAATTGAGATAAAGGCAGCAATAAAACATGCTAATGCTTACGTATGCCTATAAATAAGATCAATAAACTCCAAAAATAAACACACTAATAAGAAAATAATCATCAAATTAAGCACAACAGATCAAGTCCTTATTGATACCAGCCCTGAAAAACTGAAAGTTTTTCCACTGTATAATGCAGGACATGGCCATTGTATGGCACACATGACACCTCTGTTATGTGATATTGTGTCTAGAATCTTATTATAGATATAATTTTTTAATTTGTATTTTGGCTGCCAAATAAATTGTGCTGGCATTCTTCTGTCTTTTTCCCAACTATTTCCAGAGACGTGTAAACACTTCTTGTTCGTTCTCGAGGAAGTTTTGGCTTAAAAAGCATCACTTATGTAAACTCCATATTTAGCCATCTCCGTGTTGTGTGCCTTTTATTATGTGTGCTGACTAAATATGTTTACTTTTGTAGTCAAGCTGTTTCTCAATTTTCCCTTCCTGACACATAAGACATATTGTTAGTAGAAATATACACTGATCCCTGATTTGTCCATATCACACAGCTGTTTGGATACATGTTACCTTGCAGTATACTTATCCTCTATACTGTTTGAGCATAAACTGAAGCTATAGTATTTAAAGAATGTGCATATTGCCATACACAAATAGAGTATTTAAATAGACTGTAGTGGCAATGATTTAACCGAAAATGTGCTGGTTATGCTCATGCTCATAACACTTGCTAAATCTATGCAAATGACTTCCTGCTAGAACAATCTGTGTAATGCTCTTAATGAAAAAGAATGATAAATCAAACATTTTGTGTTCTTGATTTCACACCCTTTGGCAGTTTGTGAATCATGCAAGAGTGCTAAAATACTGTGGAAGTTATCAAACTAATGACATTTTCTGTAAAGAGGATCGTTGGCCATTTCACAAAAACTGAACACGAGGCACTGGAGCACACTTTTAATTTAATACTCTATTTAGATGCAAGCAATCCCCTTTAAAAAGAAAAGCTGCCACTGATCTGATCTCTGTGGATACAAGAGGTATTCTCATATCGAGTGAACGCTTTGATTTGTTGTATTTTGGTAGGAAAATAAAGATACTCAGGCAGTACTGACACCTTGAAGACTTTTGATGACTCTGTTATCAACAAATTCATTAAGTTAATCTTTGTACTTGAGGGTAACGGACTAATCAAATAAACTGTTTGTGACTAATTCAAACATTTATTTCAAACAGATAAATCCTTGCTTGGACTATGTCTTTCATTTGTCACCATATTGGAAAATATTTAAAAGCAATAATCCATGTGTAGACAAAATCCACAAGACTGGAACCTGCTGTCAAACTGACTGAGAGGTCTTTAGATGAACATTAAACAAAGTATTCTAAGTCAGTGATCAGACAGTCAATAGTGGTTGTAAAAAATAGCATGACAAAAGACCTATATTTTAATTTACGAATCTATTTTCTATTTTTCTATTCATACTGTATGACTGGGAGAAGATACTGGGTAAATGAGATGCTAGCGGAGCTACATCTTAAGTAGACTTTTACAAGCTAACAAGTGCGTCTGTGCTTGGCCAGAGAGAAAAGCTGGAAAAGTATTTTTTTTTTTACTTTGTAAAGTAGTTAAGACATTTGCAATGTCATCTTCAAAAGCCGCAATTCTACCCAATTATATAAAATTGTTGAAGGGAAAGAACAATGTTGATTTAGCTTTTACTTTTAGGGCAAATATTATAGAATAGGACCTTTAGATGCCATTACAGGTCAGTGAATTTCAAAATGTAAAATGATTCTCTCTCTTTGAGGAGCATGAAGGTCAGCAAATGTCAGGGAAGTCAACCTATTACATTATGCAGTATCTTCTGTGGAAGTAGAAGTTTGGTGCAAGGGTGGTATAGGGATAATGAAGCCTTCCCCATGAAGCCCATTACATTTGTTTCTGTATTTTGTGCACAAGTGGAACGTGTGTCCTGGTAATGCTTGAGAAAAGTCAGGGGGTCCCCAAAAACATTAGTATTCATCTCCTGGGCACCATCAGTATCCAAAGCAAATTTCATGAAAATCCATCAGTTAGTTTTCCAGACAACAGGGACGAAAGCATTAATGAGTGCAATTGAACATTTCTACCAGAAAGTGTCTCTTGAGGAAAGGTTGGCAGGGGTCATTAAAATCAAGTGGACATACCCGCAGGAGATCCTGAATATTCATAGCAAACTCTGATAACTCTAATAACTTCCTAGATGTTTCCTGGGAAGAACTGTGTAACTTGATAATTATTATGGGGCAATTTGAGGCCATGTTCTGTTGGTACACTTCCAATTCATTAAGCCCATAAATGATGAACACATATTAGGGCTAAGGTTTCGAGTAGTAAATCAAACATTTCTTACTCGGGGTTGAATGCAGCAGTTCTTTAAATTACATTCCTATTTCCCTGTAATTATAAGCACAAAGCCCAGAATGCTTTATATGCAACTTCTTAATAAATTATGAGGAAATCACAAACCCATAAAATTAAACATTAAGAAGTGTCTGGTCAGAGAAAAAGATAGAGGAAAAATGTGTAATTATCTATAGTACAAAAGTTATTTTGAATACTAGTCTTTTAAAGTATGTATATAGTGAATAGTTAAACACATGCAATTGTCACTTTTTTGCAGGGTATTTGCAGGGATACAGTACAGAGTAACCACTTATTTTTCAGTCAGCATTGGATATACCCACTTCGTTTTTCCATTCTAAATTTAGAATAGGATGGTGAAGGCATGCCATAGTTGTCCAATTGTCACGAGTGGACAATAGTGACTCATTTTAGTTGTCTCAACCTGTCTGTAAGCCAATATTGATGGCAACATCCACACCTCTTCTGTAGCTAATGTTAATTTCATAATGATCCTTACTGCCTGAAGTCAAGCAGCAGTAGTTCAGTGACAATGTGCAAATACTACTGGTATATTTTTGGGTGAGATAAAATGTACTGTCACTGTTAATAACACAGAGTTACAAACCCCTAAAAATTATTTATTGGAGCATAAATTAAGAGTATACCCATTGTTCAGACACCACTGGCTATGTTAGATAACCCATGGTCACATGCTGATTAATGCTAGCTAACATGCTAGTGACACACCTTTATTTACAACCATGCACTTTGTGGAAGTAGACTCTAAAGTTGAATATTCATCCAAAAAATCCACAATGAATCCTTGTGAGCTGAAGTAAACTATGCGCTCCTGGGGGTTTACAGTAAAAGGATACTAGCTACGCTTTTTCTTCTTGTTGTTTTATTTAGTTTTTGTGTTTTGTTTGTTTTTTGTTCGCCTTACGTGTTTAATGTGTCTTCTCCTCACTTGACATAAACTAAAGTTACTCCCGCCAAAATAGTGGAGAGAAAAAAAGAAATGGAGTCCCCGAACCCCGGATCAGCAGGCTCCTCCCGCACAACAACAACAACGGTGGTACACCTTGCTCCTCCAGCCCTTCAGTCTCATTCAGGGCCACCAACATCACTCAAGTGTGTCTAATGTGGCTAGTTTGGTTCAAATAATGACTGACACTGGAGAGGGAGACGATGAATTCCAGTTTTTACGAACGGTAAGTCAGACACTTTACAAACAAAGGTGTTAAATGTAGTTAATACTGTTGGGCCGAGCTACAGAGGATGCGTTGGCTAAGCTAAGCAAGCGAACCTATAGCAACCAGTCAGCAATCAATAACCTAACTAACATAAGCTCCTTGTATTGTGTTGTAAGTTTGCATAGTTGTGTCTCAGGATACAAAAAGTAGCTGCTCTTGTCCAAACTCCATGTTTGCAGCATTTTAAGTCCACTATTAGTCAGACTACTTTTTGACTTTTGTTATTTAGAACCTCAGTTTTAATATATAATATTTTAGTGACTTACTGTAGTTACTTTCCATTAACAGAGCTAGTTTAACATCGGTAAGCATGGGTCTATCAAAATCAAGTATGCTTTTATGCAAACGTTTTTTGTAAAAAATGATAATGTTCTATTCATAAGTATAATTTATATAAAACGTACAAAATAATACAAATTCATTTAAAGATCAGCTTTACTTTAAGTGTGCAGCTCACAGCAGATTTTTTTTGCTATCTTCATCACTTTGCTCTGTTTAGCTCACTGATAGTAAATACCACAAATGGCCTTTTTTTTTTTTCACCCTCACTGCAAGATGCTATCATTGTTTCCTAGTTGTACGTTGTCTCACAGCTTGTTATCTTTGGCCTCTGATAAGGGCATGTCACAAGAAGAGTGTCTGGTGTGGATATGAGACA